ACCACTCTCATGTCCTAAAGAGTGGTTCAATAGACGCTGCTGGTGAGAGAAGGTCAGACCTTAGGGGCAAAGGAACAAAATAAAAATTCGGAAGAGGATAAAAAGGACCTTGGTGACAAGTGAAATGGGGTAGTAGTCAGTTGAACAGTAACACCATGCACAGAGAAGTACCTGCTGGTGACACTTGTCCACAGTCCCACTGTTTTTACATCTACTCCGTAGATGAACAATGTTGGGAGTTTACCGTAGGGATGACGGGGGCCTCTGTGGAAATCAGAAGCACCCATAACCTTACTCATTCATTCATTCATTCATCCATTCAACATACTCCATGCAGGGTCTACCATAGGCCAGGCCTAAGACACAGTGCTGCCCTCAGAAACCACCACCAAGTAGAAGAGATGCCAACAAAGAATTCCCAGCAAGGAAATGCAGGTAGAAAGACACAGGTATGCTAGCACCGAGACAGCCATCTTCCTCCTTCCTTCCTGTGTCCTACAAGAGGAGAGTGATAGCAATGACTATTTTGGTCTCTCTCCTCTCCCTCATGGGCTTTGCTCAAAAGAGGAGAAGACGATGAGGTCCACGCAAGTCTGTGAAAGGGAATGAAGCAGAGGTGGCTGGGGCTTCCCAACTTCCCTTGAGTCACCCCTGCCTGCTGTGGGAGCCCCATTCTCTCTGCTGTCTAGCTGTCAGTAGCACAGTCAGGCACTTCTATGAGGGCAGTTTCACTCTTGGGATACAATATTAGTACTTTATCCTTTAACCCAAAGCCAGAAAAAAATGACCCATGTGGCCTTGCCATAAACGTGACATTTTTATCTCCTATGGTCACTCTCTGCGACCCAGTTCTGAATTCAAGCAGGGTCCAGGACCATCATTTCCAACTGCTTCTCTTTGCTACAAGTGTCTGTCTCTCTCTCTCTTGTCTATTCTTATTCCCAGCTGCTGTCATTACATATGTTAACAATATTTGATAATGGGCAGTTTTTTCACTCTTTTACAGGAGAAAAACTGTAGAACCTGAGCACTGAATGACTCATCAAGAGACTATTTGATAAGTCAATTTGTTCACTTAAGATGGAAAATTCCAATTCCCTAACACAGGTGTCATTTAGAGCACATAGCCTTCTGATTGCAATCTTTGCATAGTCAGGAAGGAACTTGCTGAATATTAGAAATCATCTTTCTTCCAGTAAGGGAGCTATCCTATTAGATCTGGAGTAGAAACACTATGTACAGGTTCATCTGCTCCACTTTGCTTGAAGCTCTGTGGATGAAGCAAGGAGATCAATTGGGTTCAGGGTCCTGGAAAACCCTCCTCTTGCTTAGGAGCATTTATACTTCATTCATAAAATAACCAGGATGGCCATCTAAGTGCCAGGCACCAATCTTGGAGTAATGAGAGGACTACAACACAGTCCCTAATGAATCCACTCTTTTTCTCTCCCTGTGTAATACTTCTGTTATTTAACAATGCCTCAATGAACATACCGTCTATCCATGGAGAGTGAATCACCTTGTGACTTCTGCATGTACCTTCCTTCTAATGGTCCTAGTTCTCCAGCTATTTGGGATAATTTGATACAATACAATGTTTTGTTGTGTGTTTTTTTAAAGAGACATTGGATGCCAGGATAACCCCAATCTGAATGCAGACCATCACATGTTCTATGGCTGGAAAGCACAACTGCAAGGTGCCCAGATGCCCAAAGGTGCAACAAGGTATTGATTGGCCAGGGCAGGGAACAGAGAAGTAGGCTATTGTCATTAAATTCAAGGAAGAAAATCTGGGTATCCATCAAACAGTAAACAAAGGGCAACTATTTTTCCTCTTAAACTCAAGTTTCAACAAAATGAATGAGCTCCCTACTTGCTATTAACACTTTCACAATTCAAGTTTACTTTAAAAAACAGGTTACACACCCTAAGAACCTTCTAATTTGTTAGTAATTAGGAAGACTGGCGTGAATAAGTGAAAATTTAGGATTAAAAAACATGTGCCGAATAGGTTTGTTGTTCTTGTTGTTGTTTAAATGAAGGATGGGAGGGAGTTCTGATAACATTTGTTGAGAATCTATGTTCCAGGCACCCTTGTACAAGCCTTTTCCTCCCAACTTTTCCAGAAAGTACATAGTAATGTACTCATTATTTTTTCCAGATGCAAAAATTAAAGTTCCGGTGGTCATTAACATACATTATATTTCCAATTCCAGTTTCTCTGGCATCATTTCTTATTCTCTGAGTCCATGTTTCCCAATGAACTTGTGAACACTGGTCACTAGTTGGTCTTGGGATGGGAACTTTGTATGTGAGGACACTGCCCTGAGGGAGTGTTAACATCCCTGGCTCATGAACACAAAATATCAACAGCAGTCCCTCCATATCCCACACACCTCTGAAGAGGGCAATGCCCCCTCAGATGAGGACTACTAGTCTAAAAGATTTTTTTGAGTATCAAGACACAAGACCAAAGAGGGAGGTGCATCCTTTAAAAGTGCCCCCTATCTTCAAATCTCTGGAATCCAAAGCAAGTCCCATGCTCTATGGAGTCATTTACAAAAGCTCTGAGCATTTAATTCCCATGCATTCCAAGAGCATTTATTGAGTACCTATGATAGGTCAGGTACTGTGCTGGGAATATAAAGTCAGAGAGCGTGGTCCCAACCCTTAAAGGACTAGGTCTCCTAGTCTAATGAGAGAGAGATTAAGCATGGTCAGAGTTAGGATACGGTAAGAGATTAAGTATGGTAGGGATGCTTGGTGCAGAAGGCACCTCCCCTAGATAGGACAGAGAGGTGAAGGCAGACAAAAAGGGGGTCTGGAACAGGTTCCCAGAGGAACCTCAAAAGACGAAGCAAAAGTAGCCAGGAAGGGCCCAGTCTGGGCAGAGAAAACTGCCTTTGCAAAACCAGAGAGAGGAATCATAGCTGGAGCCAAAGTTTAAACTACTTTCTTCTTCAAGTGGAGACGTCCTTGTGATTCAAACTCAGGATCTCCTGTTTACTAGACGGGCAGGTTAACCAGATAAGTCACTAGATTTCTCTTCCTTATAAGTCATCCACAGTCCATGTGTATTTCCTTCCACAGCCCTTGCTTTTGTGGGTATAATAACCCATCAGACAAGAAATACAACTAATTCTATATTTCTTCCAGGGAGCAGGAAATTGCTTTCAAGTACATTGTGGACTGGCAATCAGTTGGAGTGTCCCTCGTTGGGGATACACAAAAGTGGGGAACAGAAGAAGCAATAACGTCACCCGAGAAGTGAGGTAGGAAGAGGGATGTCCATAGGTCAACATACCCTTGGCCCTAAGCTTAGGGTGAACTTTACCTTGTTGGGAATTTTTTTTTTGTCAGTTTGTTTAATCTAAAGACATGCCTCACTTATCATCAACTCTTAACACACAAAAAACCAGATCCTACCTGGCCAGCATGATTCAGTGGCTGGTTGTCAACCTATGAATCAGGAGGTCATGATTCAATTCCTGGTCAGGGCACATGCCAACGTTGGGGGCTTGATCCCCAGTGGGGGTCATGCAGGAGGCAGCTGATCAATAATTATCTCTCATCATTGATGTTTCTCTCTCTCCCTCTCCCTCCCTCTCTGAAATCAATAAAAAATATATTGGTTTTAAAAAGCCAGATCCTCACCCTATTATTACATTTGCACAGAAAACTCAGAAAAAGACTTTGGCTATTTGTTTGTTCTTTTCAAAGGCATATATGTTATATATAATTAAAAATGTATAGAAATAAATATATTAGATATGGATAGATACCTAGAGCTGGCCAGCTGGGGATCTCTGAACCTGAGATAGCTTCATTTTGTTCACCTGGGGTGGGGAGCAGAGAGGGAAGCAAGCAAGCCCTTATGACTCTTTATTGCCTCCAGTCTACAAGGAACAGGCTCATTTCCCCTTGGCAGGAAGCCTGATGCAACTAGCAGGCATGCCCTCTTTTTCTTACCTCCCACCCCTACCCTTACCCCTACCCCTCTGACCTGAACCACACTCAGGAACCACAATTCTGTAGGTGAACTAGGCTCCCTTTAGTCCCATGGTTTTTGTTTTGGGTTTGTTTTTGTTTTTCATTTTATCAGTGTGACCTCTAATTTGACATCACAACCACGTCTGGTCCACATATCACCCCCCCCTCTCCCCCCCAGAAACTGACCCCCCACAAGAAAGCCTGTGTTCCGAGCTAAGAGAATCTGAAATGAAAAAACGGGATCCCTCACACACCGCCTGTCCCTGCTTTCAACCAGGAAGTATAAAGAAATTAACACTGCTGAGCCCAACCTGCAAAGCCAAAGGCTTGATAGAATCATACCAGGAAAGAGGCAGGTGGTCTTTGGGGTGGAATTCACCCAAATCGAATAGGTTGGTTCTCCTTTTTATCCCTGGCTGATTCCATTTCCTTTCTGTAAAACTTTGAAATCCCAGGAGGGTTGTATAAACAGAGACAGGTGTAGGGGCACCTCCACTCCGTAGGTGCATCTGCTGTCTCCCCGGCCCGATGCCTAGGACGAGGGGCCCTGGATTCCTGGACCCAATCGCAGCGCATGCTTCTTGATGACGCACCTTGCCAGGGTCCTCGCCAAGGTGTGTGGGGGGCAAGCGAGCGTCCCCTGCCCAGCGGCCACCCCGCTGATCGCCCAGAGGGAGGGGAACAGCGAAAAGGGCACCTGGGGCTAAGACCTCCGGCCTGACTTTCCTCAGGCTTTCCCCCCATTTCCAGCACATCCTTGCACAGTAGGGACACTGCATCTCCAACCATAAAGTCCTGCGCACCTACGAGTCTTTCCAAAGCAACTGAATAAAGCGCCTATTAGCCTCCTGAGGCTCAGGTGAGCGCCAAGAGGTGTTGGAGGAAAGGGCCGGCTCGCCCCCACCCTCGTTCCTCTCCTCCCCACGTTCCCCCAAGATTCACCTGGGGGATGTGTATTATTGGGGTGCGCGGGTGAAGACGGGGCTTAAAAATGCCCAAGCGTCCCTTACCTTCCACAGCCATTCTCTCAGAGCTTCCCTAACGCATGCATAATTTTCTTGGCCGAGGTACTCCTCCTTCCCCGCGCAACCCCCCTCCTGGCGCTCTCGCCTAAATATTCTGCGCTCATCTGCTCCAGGAGCAACCTGCAGCGGTCACGCAGAGACAGGCAGCCGGCTCCCAGCTCCGCGCAAGGCCGCCTGGGAAGTGTAGTTTCCTCCCTTCGCTACGACCCCTCTAAAACACTCTGAATCCTCGATGGTTCGCGTCCTCCCCTCCACACTCGGACTGCAACTATGGTTTCAGCCGATCCACGCAAAGAAATCCTTCCTTAGGGGGTCTGGTAAGCGGACAGGAAGACACCCCCCCCCCGGAGGTGGTAGGGACTACATTTCCCAAGATGCTCTGAGCTGGATTTCGTTCTGCATTTAGTAGAGACCTTATTGAGAGCTTCCCTTCAATTAGAAGGGAGTAAGCACCTAGCGGGGGTAGTGTGGGAGGCGGAAGGAGGCAGGGTTTGTGGTGTGATCCCTTGAGCTGTTTTCTGGCCTCTTTGGCCACCCCTTTAATGAGGACAGCAGAGCCACCAGCAGACTGTGGTTCATCAGGTGGGTTGGAGAGCCATTGCACAGGGTGCTGTTGGAACTTGTTCCTCTGCGCCCTGGGATTGGTGGGGTTTGGCTGAATCCTGGCAAGTGTGGTTCAGGGGGCTAACACTTAGCTAAGGGTTGGCGGATGGCCTAAAATTTCTAAATAGGCATCATTCCTAAGGAGCAATACCTAGGAACCAGGGTTCCACCTGAGGATGTCAAAGAGGGAAACCTGTCTTCCAAAGTAGGAAGCTTCCAAAGTAGGAAGCTTCCCAGGTGCCTGGCCTGGGACCTGTCCGGGGTCTCTGACTGGGCCTAATAATTAACAGCGCCCCAGAATTAGTGTGCTTTCAACTCCTGAACCGGTGCCCCAGTTACAGGTGCTGGGAATACCTTGAACACACAGCAAAGAGAGAGTCAAGTGGAGGGCAGTAGCATTCCAGAATGGAAGTTGGCAAACTTTTCTCCCTGTGTGTGGAAATACAGATGTGCTATGGCTTGGTAGAGAGGAGGGAGGGAATGGCCTTGGGAAGAAAATGGACCCAGCACTGCAGTGAGCATTTGAAAGGCCTTGAGTTTGGAACTGTACATGGTACCACTTCACTTCCACCCAGTCCCCAGCATTTCTGTCCCCACTCTGACAGATGGAAGGAAGGAAGGAAGGAAGGAAGGAAGGAAGGAAGGAAGGAAGGAAGGAAGGATGGAAGGAAGGAAGGAAGGAAGGAAGGAAGGAAGGAAGGAAGAAAGAAAGGAAGGAAGGAAGGAAGGAAGGAAGGAAGGAAGGAAGGAAGGAAGGACAAAGTAAATAATAACTAAGGAAGGACAAAGATCTGATTATTTCCATTTTCATGACAAATTTTCTTTTTTTGTCATATATATATGTTGCTTGTTTGTTTGTTTTTACCACCAAGTACCTATGTGTTTAGCCCTCTCATTAGGTAACGTAGCTGTGTCTGGGTCTTTTAAAAAGACCTGTGTGTATCCATTAAAGGCCCTTAATGATACTTTAACTCTGACTCCAGATTGCTGTGTGCACATCAAACCCAACTCTTCCAGCTTTGGTAAACAGAGACCTGTTCAGTGAGACAGAACCATTTTCCCAACCACACATGCAACCAAGCACTCCAAAAACCTGGGAGGAACTGAAGTCCAGGTGTTGTCTTTCCTCTCAAGTATACAAAATGACCAACGCATTCATTTCCTTAAGATTGAATGAATGGAAAAGAAAGTCATGGAAGGAGAGGCAAGATCAGTAGGTCTCAATATTGTGCATCAGCCCTTTACAAACACACTTTCCTAAGCCCACTTTAGTCTTACAGAATGAAGATGTTTTTTGAGGTTTGGGGGGTTGATGTTTTAAAAACCCATAGGTGATTCTACTCTGTAGCAAGAGCAAAAACTATTGGTTTGCTCTCAAGCTTTTAAAAATCTGGGTGATACTAAAATGTGAAAATCATTGAAATTCATTTTTAATTTAAAAACCTCATTTCATTGAAGCTCAGCTTTTAGGCTAAGGTCAGGTATAAAAAAGATCATTTCACCTGAAGTTTTAAAGAGCCTTCTCAACCGATATGCAGTTTGAATTTCATTTAGTATAAGTAAGTAAGATGTGAAGGAAATATTTGTTTCACCATATGAAATAGCTAATATTTAACTTTTAAAAAATCTATAAACAGAGCAATTTTATGTGTTTTTACCTACTGAATAATAAACAGCAGTTAAACAGGAGTTTTCAATTCTGGATAAATATTAGAAGCACCTGGGAAGCTTTAAAAAAAAACAAAAACATTTCCATTCGAATGGCCAAAAGAAAAAAGACAGAAAATACCAATTTTTGGCAAGATTGTGCACCAGTAAGGACTCATGCATACTGTCCAAACTGATACAACCACTATAGAAAAACCATTTGGCATTTAAGCTGAATATGGGCTTATTCTGTAACACAGCAGTTTCAATCAAACATATCTTCATACAATTTCCCAAAAGACATACAGAAATGTTCATAGCTACGTTATTTGAATAGCTACAAACTGGAAACAACCCAAATGTTCATCAACAATAGATTGGATGAACAAATTGTGGTATAACCAAACCATCCTCTATAGTAGGGTTCAGCAAACTATGGCCTAGGGGCCAAATATCGCTCACTGCTTATCTTTGTATGGCTCATAAGCTAAAGATGGTGTTTGTATTTTTAAGTGGTTACAAGAAAATCAAAAGAAGAAGGATATTTTGTGACCCATGAAAATTATAAAGAAGTACCCACATAATATTCATAATTTTGCTTTTTGGTCTACAAAACTTAACATATTTCCTATCTGGCCTTTTATAGAAAAATAGTTCTTCAAAACCTACAGAAAATGGGAATGAATGAATAAAACAACATTGTTGAACCACTTGTATTAGTTACATATTGCTGGTAACAAATTGCCTCCTAATACAGTGGTTTAAAATAACACCCATTTATTATCTCAATGTCTATGAGATAGGAAGTTGGGCAGCTCCTCTGGGCCCTCTGCCTCAGGGTCTTTTACAGATGACAATCAAGGCATTGTCTGGGTTGAAGTCTCATCAGGTCAAGATCTGTTTCCAAGATCACATGGCTGTTGGCAGATTTCAGCTCCAAAATATACCTATAGAAACTAGGCTTTGCATAAGGTAAATTTATTTATCATTCTCAAGAAGGCTTGAGAAGTAGGATCCAATCCCAATTGTGTGTGTGAATAAGTAATGGGAAGAGAATTACTCACAAGGGGCAGGTGCTAGAAGTAAAGTGAGTTTTAACCAATTCACCAAGGACCAAGAGTAGAATTCTAAGGTGTCTGGGTCCCACTTGCCTCATGGATTAGTGCAGTTGATAAAGCTGATCATTGTTCTTGTGCCTCAAAATCATCACAATGAATTTTCACTTTCTGAGTGAAAATTGAGAGGTCACCAGCTGCCTTCCATGTCTGTGGCATGAGCAAAAAATGAAGGGGCGGGGGGAGAATAATCACTTCCACAAAGTTGCCCATTTCTGAATTTTATTCTATATCTTGACTTGAGAATATTTTCTAGCACATCAGAATTAGAGAACATAAAGGAAAGACTTTATGCACATGGCTACATATTTAAAACAGCCTGCCCTTAAAATAATCAAACTAAGTGGTCGTCCAATGTGGCTCAGTGGCTGAGTATCAACTTATAAACCAGGAGGTCATGGTTCAATTCCTGGTCAGGTATATGCCCGGGGTATGGGCTATATCCCTAGTGTGGGATGTGCAGGTGGCAGCTCATCAGTGATTCTCATCATTGATGTTTCTATCTCTCCCTCTCCCTTTCCCTCTGAAAGCAATAAAAAGTATATTTAAAAAAAAAACTAATTTGAATGGGAGGAAGTTTAGACAGTTTCATGTTTTTCCTTTTGGACGCTAATACCTTAATATGCTGTTTGATTTTTGTGGAGGCTTCTATGGGGTTATTAAAGCTCCATCTGACAGTAGAGGCAGATCTTTAAGGAAATGACAGTGTATTCAATAGATTTAACCTACCTATAGGAATCAAACACTTATAATATAGTTACCGTTTGCCAGAAATTCTCTTAAGTGCTTTAAAAATGCCAGGCCTTCTGGCTCTGAGGGCCATGTGCTTAAACACCACACTGTGCTGCCTTCCTCATTTTCCACATCACCCTGTTTCTGCCACAGGCAGTTTAGGAGAGTGGCAAACCAAAGTCAAAGCAAGAGGCTGGATACCTGGTTATCAGGTGTGATCCCCAAGGAGCACCTCCTTGTGCCTCTCACCTTCAAGGGCGGGAGAGTAATATGGATAACACCTCTGCAGCCTTTTCTCTTTGGGAAACTCTGTGCTTTGTTATTTTCCCAGAGCCCCCCAAAAAACAACGAAAAACAAACAAAAAAAACCCCACAAACAAAACAAAACAAAAAAACCCAACATATTGATTGTCACAAAAGAAAATGATGGAATTGAGCCTTCATGATGAGAGGTGAGAAAGGCCCATCACTTGTCAGAAAGTGAGAGTCGGGGGAATTCATGCCATCGTTGCCTGAGAAAAGGCACTGCAGGTGCTGATGACAGATTACTGTCCTCATAAACCTGAAGGCATGATCTAGGGCTCAATCTTAATGTCTGTCAAACTCAAAGAAGGGAGAGAAAAATGGGGATGGAGAACATGATTTAGATTGCACCTGGGAGAGAAGGAACGCAGTGCACCCAAGAGGTGCCTTGTGAGATAAGGCAACCATTCGCAGGGTGCAGGCCCAGGTTTTGCTTTCACCTTGCCTTTTCCAATCCCTGATAACTCTTAGAGAAAAATGTGCCATGTGAAAGGTGTTTCTGGGAAGTCTGGTTTTATTCAAGGAAATGCAAATCTTATGGGGTAGGGAAATATTCAGCTGAATTTTGCCCCATTGTTTTAAAGGCTGATGGGGTGGT